GGACCAGAAGGGTTTGGGGGAGACGCTGTTTCCCCTAGCGCCCGCTGGCATAACAAGGAGTAATGGGCACCAGTTGATGGAGAGGAGGTATAGATTGGACATCCGCAAAAACTACTTCACAGTTAGGGCAGCTAGGAGCTGGAACCAACTTCTAAGGGAAGTGGTGCTGGCCCCTACCCTGGGGGTCTTTAAGAAGAGGTTGGATGCCTACCTGGCTGGACTCATTTGAGTCCCGTTTCTTGTTTTGGGGTTTTGTTGTTCTCACGCCCTGGCGGGGGGTCGGGCTAGAAGATCTACTAGGTCCCTTCCGACCCTAAATCTATGAAACTATGAAACGCATCTATACATGCGTTTACGCACTTTAACTAATTGTGCCTAAATTTGATACTTGCTTTATCTAAGTATCAAATTAGGTGGGATTAACCTAAATTTGCCAGTTTAAGGTGCATTAAAGGCACACACATGTAGACGTGCACCATTAATGCACCTTAAATTGGGTTAATGTACATTAAATGACCACGTGTAGACACACCCACTGAAAACATGGCATGGAAGATTAGCATTGATATTCATCAGTGATCAACAGTCAAGGTGTGGAGGAGGTTACTAGAATAGGGGAAGAGAAGCATTCCAAGCTTCAGAAATAGTGTGATCAATAGTGCAAAGTTAAGAGTCTGAGACAGGAACTACGTAGTGCTAAGTGGACATAACAGACAGCGTAATTAAGTCAGTCAGTGAAATATAATGATGACTGTAAACATCTGGATTCATTACTGTGTTGATACATAGGTCTAATGCTCCTATAGAGTGAAAACATGGGCAACACTCTTCTGTAGGACAGCCAACTAGGGTCTTTACTTATCCTCCAGTTCTCTGGACAGTGCAGAATCCTCTTTGTATGTTTTCTTTGGGCTGGTGCTGTCAAAGATCTGCTCCTCTTGAAGTCAGGCAGATTTTGGAACAGAAATCCACCCAGATATTTCTTTTGCTTCATCCAACAGTAACTTCCCTTCTGTATCTCAGAAGCCATCATGACTGTGGAAGGCTGCAGCTGCCAGGAGAAGTATTAAGATATTTGCATGGTTGCTTATTGTCTGTGCAGATACCATAATCTAAAATCTATAAAGCTTTTAGGGGTGTGATAAACCTCCTTACACTATGGCAGAAGAAGGGAAAACTTCCCTCAGATAGAGCAGTTTGTAGGACATTATACACGGAATTCCATGACATAACCTCTGCTGTATGCAGGGTTTTCTTCCACAGGTAGCTACAGCCTTTTATTTGATTTTAGCATTTCATCTAGAAACTACCTATTTCATATCTATAATACTTACCATTGTACCATGGTCACAAATCTACTGATTGACACACTTGCTTTATAAATATATATGCTTACCACAATATACTATGAGCTAGAGAGCTGTGCATCTTAAACTCCCATTGGTTGAATGGGGGATTTCTGGTACTTGGGGTTTATGCATATTGGGTAGCTTATATTTGGGAGCCTGAATATAGATTTAGGGTACACAAGATATAGATTTATCTTATGTACCCTTTATTCACTTTGATATTTTTAAATCAGAAAGTTTATGTATTTTCACTGAGTTACTTTTAAAGAGAGTAATTAATTTGACTGTCGTTTACTCAGCAACAACTTGTGCAGAAAGTATCTTAAGTACCAATGCTATGAGCATTAGGTTGCCTCTTATTTATGCCAGCTGAACACTAATATAGCTGTTTGAATTGTAAAGGAGATACTCTTGCTTTATACCCAGGTGAGAGTATTTCATTATTCTAGAAGGGAGGCCCCTGTTTGAGAGGAGCCCCATCCAGACAGACAATGTTCTCAGTATAAAATCTGGAGGTAGTCATTCCTTCCTTGATTTTCCTTTGGAATCTCTTTCACAATAAATGAACAATTAATGCCTGTATTTCACCTGTCTCAGGATGCCCTTTAAAAACAAACATCAACTATCTTGACTTCAGTCAGGTGCTCTGTACTATGGATGAATGTAATGCTTTGCCAAGGGGAATGGCAGTCCCTGAAAAGCAGCACTCACAGAGCAAGGAAGTGCAAGTGAAATGATCTATGCCCATTCATTTTGATGGGAGGGTCCACAGGTGTCACAGCTTTTTAGTGGGACTGTGATGGTGCGGGCACCAAGGTGCATGGCTGACTGCCCCGATGACCCATAAGCTTGAGACTATAGAAGAAGCGCTCACAGTGTGGTTTTGTCAGATTCCAGTGAATTTGCAAATTCTGCTAAATACCTTTTCACAACAAGGACACAAGGATGAAAGAAGGATAGCTTTTTAGCAGTCAGCACTGTATCATGCTGAAGGCTATA